TGTCTTTCTGGACTTTAAAGAAGAAACAAACTAAGAGAACTGTGGAAGATAATACATACTTGCTTCACGGTTCTGGCTTTCTTCTCGAGTGATTTTTAAAATTTTTCTGGTACAATTCACAATCTTGAAGGCTTTGTATGATTATCTGCTTCTTCCTTGTAAGAGAGGATCGTTTCTTTGTAGATTGTGTACTCTGACTAAACACTTTGAAGATAATGATGCACAGTGCATTGAGTATTGCTATTCTCTTACTATTTTGCTGTGAAATTTTGTTTTTTTTAAATAATAAAGCAATCTCAAATATCCCTATTACCAATAATATCTAATTTATAAAATATAAGTCAATATTATATAACTTTAGCCTTTTTATTTTATAATCGTTTCCAGAGATAATATACCATACAATATGAAGAAAATGCACATTTAAGCATATACACATGTAGATACACTATATATATGCAATATTTTAGGTATTTTAATTTTTCAGGTACATAATCAAATTCTGAAATGAACTCGATCACTCTGTCAAACACATCACCGTTGATTAATTGTGTGGTTAGATTTATGTTCATGTCAGAATTTTTAGCTCTCCATCTCCTCCACTCTTCATTACCAACTGTACTTCAGTATTAAATTTGATCATAAATATTCCCTTTTATACATTAACTACTAATATGCACATTATAGAAAACTTTAAACCCAAGAATTGATTCCATGAGAATTTAACAATGAAGCATAACATAAGGGCAAGACAAAGTTACACTTTGAAAGCTGCATTGCTGAAGTTCACAGATAGTAGCCCTGGCACTGCTGGCCCTCACAAGCTGCTGCAGGAATCTAGTTCAGGAATCAGAAGAGAGGAGGAACCAACAGGAAATAACAGAATGAAGATTGAGTGAGCCAGAAAGCAAGCAAAATCCAGAAATCCTGGCATTTATTAAGAGCGGCCCTGGAGGAAACACTGGGCAGGGGAACTTGGCCTCCAAATGGCATGAAGAGCAGAAGCACAACACAAGACTGTGAGTACAGGCAGAGACTGGTCAGAGACACAGCGCCGGGGGAAAGAGCAGTGAACAGGTCAAGAGCGTCACAGGGAGTGAGCATCACAGCATTTTCATCTGGTCAGGGAGCCAAGCTAAATATCCAGGGCTGCCTCCGGAGAACAAGCAGGATGTAGGGGCTAGACCCTGGAGGGGGGCGCCTTGCCAGCTCCCACTGTTTCCCTGCAGAGCACCAGAGAGCAGAAAACCCCCTTTCTGTTGCACCTTAAGTCACAGCAGCCACTCCTTCCCTGGAAAGCAGCAGGCCCGGGACAATGCCACTACAGAGAAAAGCTACAGTAAGGGGACTGGAGGAAGCCTTGTCCTGCATGACTGGTAGGAAATAGAACTCAGGCTGGGGACGATTTCAACCCACCAAAGCAAGTGAGAGCACACACTCTGAATGGCTTTCATCCTGAAACAGAGAAATCTACTTGTTAACTCTGTGGCGTCTTCTAAGGCAATAATTGACAGGGAAGTTAGGGAAATAGTGAATTTATTAGAATATTTTACAATTCAAGTATTAGTGAAGTTAACTCTTTTTTCTTATTTGTTTTGGTACTGGGAGTTGAACTCATCAGTTCTCCACCACTGGGCTCCTGTCTTTTCTTTTCTGTTTTATACAGGGTCTTTCTAAGTTGTCCTGGGAAATCTCCAAGCTGCAATCTGCCTGTCTCAGACTTCCTCAGTGCTGGGATTCTAGGTGCATTCCACCACGTCTGTCTTCAACATTCTTTTAACAACAAATTCAGGAAATTAAAACTGATAAGAGTAGGAGAAATAAAATACAGACCAGAAAGGACCAGAAACCCAAATTACATGTCTTCGAGGCAATGGATAATGTGCTATATCTCTGATAAAATTGACCAAGAAATAAGAGAGAGAAGATGCAAGTGATCGCACTCTCTGATAATAAATGGGCACTTCAGGACACTAGGGAGCGACAGAGCTCACTTCCACATGCAGGAAAGGCCTCCCAGAGACACCCGCCATGCTGGGGTTTCATGCTTAGTGAGGCAGTGTTCAGGAGTGGGGTCCCTGGGTGTGACTGGGTCACACAATACAGCAGATACAGCAGGTGAACCCAACACTGAGTAGTAGAGGCCTGGTGGGCCAGTGAGTCACTGTGATACTTGCAAAAACACAAGTAAATAAAAAATGCAATGATAAACAACAGCAACAGTGAGCTACAGGTGAATGTATGGATAAGGTGATTGATCTGTGTGTCACATACCTCATTCGCCTGTGTTCATGCACAGGAACAGGGTAAAGGTATGAGCTGGAATGGGGTGCACGCTGTCCCAGCACCCCACTCCCTGGACCCCTGTCCTTCCCCACTTCTGGGCTGCCATGGGCCCAGCTGCCTTCTCTCCCGCCCTGCTTCCTGGGGCAGCCACCTGGGAGTCAGTGGAACAGAGACTGAAACCATGGGCCAATTTATCTGCAAACTGTGCACATCAGGTATCTGACCCCAGAGACAAAAGATGAATAAGGAAAAAAAAATGTTACCCAGATTGATATTGACTTTATGAAATATCTGCATACTCTGTCAATAAATTCTACCTCAAAAGCTAAACAAGAGAAAGGGAAAAAAATCCTGGTTGTTTCTAGGGTACAAACAGGTTTACTGATTTTGAAATGTACACCAAATGAAACCCATCATTCTTTATAATATGCACTAATAAGTAAATCACTATGGAATCACCGGAAATTAATTCACAAATGTATACAATGCATTATTAACTTTATTCTGCTAATGTATTGCCAAGTAAACTAAACATATAAGAAAAATTTATCATAAACTATGACCTATTGTAAATAATATCTGTATATAAAACATACAGAAAAACTATTAAAACTGTAAAATTGATCATAAACTACACTTGAATTAGTTTAATGCATTAAATAACATTCTTTAAATTGTGGTTAGAGTCACAGTTTTTTTTTTTAAAACTTTTTTAAAGACAGTTTTTTAAAAAATGTGCTTTTATTTTTGTGTTGCTCTACAACAATAAAGCCATGATACTTGTAATAAGATGGGTAAGTTAATATCTATAGCAATCAACCTTACAGAAGTGAATAACAACTGAATATACACCAAGTGATTGCTCTGAGTGAAAACAACACATCAACACTCTTATTTATGCCTATGCAGGAGGCACAGGCCTTAACTGGAGAAGGACCCTTTCAGAGAGTTCCACACAAAGTTGTTCCTCTTTTTCATCCTGAAAATGATGTGAAGAAAGGGTAGGAGCTGAAGCAAACTTGCAAAAGCCAGATAGTCCTTCCTAAATTAAAGAGGAACTCGAGAATGACTTACTTAAATCCAGTACTTTTAAAAAGGACTCTACCCCAGGGCCCAGGGACTGAGGTTACAGCTCAGAGGTGCGGGGCCTGCATGGCCAGCATGATTTCGATCCCTGAGTTCAATTCCCATGTACAGGGAAAAAAAAAAGAACTTATCCTTTTACTAAGTTTCCCAATGTACTAACAATATCAAAAAAGATTTAAATTTTATTTTGTATCTCTTTCTCTGGAGTGATAAATAGACAAATTTACACTCAGAAAAGAAAACAGAAGCCAATCAAAAGCCTATACAAGATGCAATCTGACAAGTGACTTCTATAATGACACCAATGATAATACTAATCATATCACTAATGCAATGATGGTATCAGTGTACCTAGTAGCATTTGTTATGCTTGTAGAGTTTTGTTCATTCTTTTTAATTAACTATATAAGTTTATAAAACTGTGACTATAATTACTGCTTGACAAGTTCTTCTTCCTTTACAGAGGATTATTTACACAAAATCAGTGGGATTTACTCCCAAATTCACCCAAAACCCTTTATACATGGCAGAAAGCAGAAGTGTGCCGTTGACAAGCTGTATGGAGAAAGCCAGGTCTACAGCAGCTGCAGCAGGCCTGGGACACCTGCCTCATCCTGTGTCCATACATCAAGCGATGAGCCATGGGGTCCTAAGGGACAGAGCTGGGACAGACACCACCTCAGGTCACATCAACCGGCGCTAATGTGCTCTTCCCTACTTCCTCCCCGACAGAGGCACTGGTCCCACGGGTGACTTTATTCACAAGCACAACAGTGAGCTGGTGTGGCTGAAGCCACAGAAATTCTCTTGGTCTCATATCACATAGCAGGGGGCATAAAATCTAGGGGCAACTCAAAAATTATAGTATTGGTTAATGTAGTTTCAGAACAACAGACTTCAAGAAAGCTAAGATTTCCTAAAACTTCTGCAAAAGGGCTTTTATCCTTAGTCTAAATCAAGTAGACTATCATTTAGAATATCATTTCTATATCCCATTAAAAGTAAGAGGAAGCCACTTTCATTTACATCTTGTCAATTAAACAAGTCCATTATCTTTTGGACTTTAGTATTGATATTTTATCCAGGTATTTTTTTTTATGGGCAGAATATTAAGGACACTGAAGCTTTATTACAAGCACCAATTTCAGTATTTCTAGAACATGTGCCCCTTTGTACTTCCTGAGATCCAATGTCAGAGTTAACAGAACCCTGCAACTGTCACAGGGGACAGTGACTCACAGGGTGTTACACAGTGAAGGAACATCAGTCTTTCCCTAGTGTTCTCCGTGGGTCTGAAAGCTTCACCGTGAGACTTCTTCTGGGTTAGGAGCACACCTACTCCTCACATTACAATGATCAATGAGCCCAGCCTTGGTGGAGGTAGACAGTGTGTTCTGTATTTATTTAGGTCAGCTACTGAAACACAGTTCAAGGGACTCTGTCAAAATAAAATACACATGATAAAATGAATGAACAAGCAGTAAGGACAAATTTCACGTGCATGATAAAGTGAAAAGGTGCATGGTCTCCCACTGGAGACTCAGATGCTGAGAGCAGATGAGAAGACAGGAAAGGACAGGAGGAGGCCAGAAATGAAGAGGAGAAGAGAAGGGAGCAGAGAAGCCTGGTCATTCCCCAGCTTTCGCTCTTACAGTGCTCCTGAGGCTTGCTCTTGAATGAACCATGTTCTGCAGGACCCCTCTGACATCCTTGATACACAGGCTGTAGATGAGAGGGTTCAGCACTGGTGTGATGATGGTATACAAGGAAGACACCATCATGTCCTGCCAGGCTGTGTGGTAGGTGATGGGAAGGATGTAGGCATGGAGGGTGGCTCCATAGAACAGCACCACCATGATTATGTGAGAGGAGCAGATGGCCAAGGCCTTGCTATGACACTTGGATGAGTTCATCCTTTGGATGAGGCACAGGATCAGGGTGTAGGAGCCCAAGATGACCAGGATGGGGACCAGGATCATGAGCACGCAGCACAGGCACATGAGCAAGCTGCAGAGGGAGATGTTGGAGCAGGAGAGCTTGAGCAGAACAGGAACCTCACAGAAGAAGCTCAAGTTTCTCCTGGACTGACAGTAGGGGAAGCTTAGCGTAATGGGGTGATCAACAGGGCATCCAGTATCCCTACACACCAGGACCCGCCCGCCAGCAGTAGGCACACCCTTGGGCTCATCAGTAGTGGGTAGTGGAGAGGTCTGCAAATGGCAGCGTATTGGTCGTAGGCCATGGCTCCCAGGTGGAAGAACTTGGCCCCAGCCTGGGTCAGGTAGAAGAATATCTGGATCCCACAGCCCGAGGGGGAAATTGTGTGATCTCCAGTGACCTGGCTCACAAGTATCTCGGGCACCGTGACGGGCATGTATAGGAGGTCCATGAGTGACAGCTGGCTGAGGAGGAAGTACATGAGCCTGTGGAGGTGGAGGTCCAAGTGGATCAGGACACTGAAGAGGGCACTTCTGGCCAGAGCCAGCAAGAAGAATATGAAGATCACAGTGTAGAGCAAAGCCGCATGCTTGGTGTCCATGAAGAGCCCCACAAGGATGAAGTCAGTGCTCAAAGTTTGATTCCATGGAGTTAGACTCCCCAAGTATGTGTCTGGATAGACTTCTCACCTGAGGAGAAATAGAATCAGGATTGTTATATCTACTGCATGCACAGGACTCTATTTTTGATGAAGCATGCAATTTGTGCTATTTATACAAACACTGGGTTAAACTGAGGTGGGGTCAGAAATTCAGACCTCAGAGAGGTCAAGCTGGACTTTGGCCACTAGCTAGAGTGAAATACAGACAGACCTTGGGGCCCCATGAAGTGACCATGAGCTCCAGAAAGAGACAGGTGTCTGCACTCAGTAAGTAAGGATGATTGGAGACTTAAGCTAAAAACCACATTAAGTCTGTGACAGGAGTCAAATTGCTCTATTTGAGAACTTCCAGACCCAGCAGTTCTTCAGGCTCAGTGACAGAAATCCACTGAGGCAACTGGCAGCATTTACACTGTTGAGGGTACTGAAACCCTGACTGAGGTTCCCTGGGAACCTTGCACCACTTAAACACCTTCCTGCATCACACACCTCCATTAGAGCCCCTCCCCTCATGCCAGCTTCCCAACTGCATCTGACACCACTGAGTTCTGTGAACAGAGCGGTTAGGGGACTGGCACTGGGTAGGACGAGCAGCTGACCTGGAAGAACAGCTCTGAACACAGCCCTGCAGCAAGGCAGGAGGGGCAGGGCTCACTGGATCACAGGATCCACCATGAGGCCTAGGGATTTCTTCATTAACTGTTCTGCAGACAAATGGTCTTAGAAACTGCAGGAACAAGAGATGCAGAGCCCCTAAATATGAACTTTGTATTTAGTTGTAAACTGACTCAAGTGTTCAATTCCCTTTGGCAGACATTTTTCCCCGCCTTACTGCCTGCAGTGTCCAGCATTAAGGGCAGCAGGATGTGTAAAATAGCTGTTAGGCTGTAGTCCTGTACTTCCATGAAGGAATCCCTCTAGGCCTGCATCTCAGTTATATTGAAAACAAACAAACAAACAAACAAACAAAAAAAGACCCTCTGTAAATCCACACCTTTCCTCAGGATCTGCTCTACTCAAATGCATCTATTTTAAATTTTTAGTCAAATAGTGTGAGTCCCCCTTGACACAACTGTGCTATAAGCTCTCAAAGGGCAAAGGTATTCTAGACTACCAGAGAGTCCAGAGCCCCAGGACAAACTGAGGTGTAGAGGGGCCTTGGCGTCACCGTACCCCAGCTTTGGGGAGTGCACAGAAGCATCAATGCACAGCAATAGGAAACGCAATGCAAAAGAGACATCAGGGTTACAGGAGAAGTTGGAATTACATGAAAGAGAGCAAGGAAACCAGGCACCCTGACCCTCACATCTCACTTGCTGAAGTCCTCCAGAGACTTCTCAGTGAGCCACCCTCCAGCAAGGATCAAAGGGGCACAGGGCCCAGACTCCTCTGTCCCCTCTCGTGCTCCTCCAGGAACTGAGTCTGAGTCAAGCCTGGCAGATGCTGCAGCGTCCAGAAGCTGGGCGCTCAGGTGTGACTTAAGGAGGCAAAGTGGGAATTGCGTCACGGGCTCCTTTCTTTGGGAAATTGAGGCGAGGTCTTCTGTTTAATGCCTCATGGAAGCAGGAAGAGTGGTGATTTTTTTTTCTTTCACCTATTCCCCACGCCATGTGACTGCATAGTCCTGAACCCCTCTACATGTGTGGAGTACTGCTTTCCTCATAGCAGTGTAGGCACAGCCGCACTGACACAAGTGGCTGGAAAATTGTGTGATGTCCCTGTACCAACCTCCACCAGGAGTGGGACTGCATACAGCTCATGTGCAGTAAAACTGAAAATAAAAAAAAAAAAATAAATCGGGATATACTTTATTATTACTCTCATTTATCACTGTGATATGGTGGCTTAATTCAGGAAGTTACCAAAGAGAACAGCAGTATCAGATGGAACCTCTAGTCTAGATTTGTGAGGAATCTTAACACTGGCTTTCTATTCCGCAGCCAACAGTTAACAAGGGTTCCTCTCTTCCCAAAGCTCCACGAGTATTTGTTATTAGAAGTTTACTTGATATTAAAGTTTACTTGACATTAAGTTTACATGACATTGTTTCTTGGGAGAGAAGGAACCTCAGTATTGTTGCAATTTTTCATCTCTTGAATGATCATGGATGTTGAAGATTTTTTATTTACTTAATGTCTTTTGTATTTCTTCATCTAGCAAGTGTCTATTTATCTTTGATTCCCTTTTTTTGCACTGGGTCTTTAATTTTGAGGAAATCTGACTTGTTTGATTTATTTGTATTCTAGATAGTAACCCTTTGGCTGTAGAACAGGTGGCAAACATTTTTCCCACAGTGTGAAAAAATGTCTCTTCACTGTAGTGCTGATTTCTCTTGCTGTGCAAAATCTTTTTAATTAGATGAGATTGCAGGTGGTTTTTGCAATAGTTCCTGCAGGGTTTTGTTCATAAAGTCTATACATATACCATTATTTTCAGGAGTTCTATCTATTGTATTTCCCAACAAACTTAGTGTTTCTGTTTTAATATTTAGATCACTGGTATTTTGATAATCAATTTTTCCAATTTGTCGTATCTTTTGTTGGATTAATGAACTTTGTGTTTCACAAAAGTGACTCTTCTTAAGGGAGCACCTGCCCTGTGTTCCCTGTGTTCTCCTCGCTCTTTAAATTGTCCATGCTCACTCTCTGCAACTGTAGTTACAGAGCTTCCCACTGAGAAGGAGCTCCTCTCCTACCCTTCTGCTCCTAGCAGCCTTCTTCCTATAAACTTGCATCTGCTCAAAAACTGCAAAGCTTGATGATTTTAAAGCTTTGAAAAATAGAAAAAAATATTTTGTAAGTGTGCATGTGAACTGTCAATACTTTCCTTTTGTTAAAAATGACTTGAGTGGAGACATTGAACATCACTAAATATGAGGAACCTATAAACATATAAATTAAACACAGAATGAAGGGCAATCTCAACCCAATGGGAGTAACTGTGATAACGTGTAACTTGGTGAGGTTGTGAACAGAGAGGAACATTTATTCACTATTTGTGAAGTAAATTAGTGCAGTCATCAGGGAAAACATTATAGAGGATCCTCAACAAATAAAAAATAAAAATAGTGCATGGTCTAGAAATTCCACTACTGGATATATAGCCAAAGAATTAAAGTCAGCATATTGAAGACTCTTGGAATTCCATGTTTATTGAAACTCTAGTCACAATACCTAGGGTATGGAATCAATTTGAGTAGTGGACAAGTGGATAAAGAAAAAGTATGTACCATAGGATCCTAGCCAGCCCTAACAAAGTGCAATATCCTGTTATTTTCAGCTGGGCTGACACACCTAGAAAACAATTACCAAATAGGCTGGCACGTGGAGACAAATACTAAATGATCTCACCCATGGTGGAATCTAAAAACCTTGATCTAATGGATATTGAAAATAAGATCATTTTTAAAGCCCCACAGAAGACTCTACTCTTAGAGATCAGTGAACATGCACACAAATTTAAATATTTTCCAAATTCTCAAAAACATACAAACCAAATGGAATGTTGTACAGATTGCTGTGGTTTGAGTAACTTTTTGAAAAAAAAAGATTATTAACATTGACTTAAAAATGGATATGATTTGTGTTATCTGCATTAAGCATAATAAGGTCATGAGCATTTATTCTACTTGAGTTTATTAGTTAAATCAATATTACACCTATTGAAGATTTAATATAGCAGTTATAAATTTAAACTACTTGCAAATGTCTAACTGCATATTTAGTGACAAAAGAATTGCTGGAGTCAATTGCTTCCTGTATAGCAGGCACAACACTAAGGAAGTACAAGCAAATGCAAAATAAAAAAGTATATTTAACATTTTTAGCTTTGTATTTCTGTGATACTTGCTTAAATGTGAATATACTGGAAAGCCAGTTAACAAGAGAGTAACTTGATAAGTCACCAATTAATCTAAACAGTAGGGGCGTCTGAATCTTTGAATGCAAATTATAAGTTTAGTTTATTTACATTTGATAATGACAGGAAAACCATCCAGAAAAAATTTGGATCCTGCTGTCCAGGTTTTTATGTTGCATTCTGTGTTGAGTGTTTAAAATACATCATACACAGAAAAAATATTCAATAAATTTGATAAAATTTTCATTTTTACATTTCTTGTATTATTGCATTATAAAAATTAACAAAATCCAATTTTTGGTCTTCCTGTCTTTAAATGATTGTACTGGTAAGTGGTAAAATAATTTATTTCATGTGTTCTACTGCAGGAAAATAATTGTCCCTGAAGAAGAAAAGTTTACATTTCTATACTCTGTATTTGCATAAGATAAATATTAGCATAAATTAAATTTCAAAAAAATGTGTGAAGATCATAGTATTTTGTTATTTTCTATACCACCCATTATATGATTCAGCACAATGATACAGATAACAATTCCAGCGATTATTTAAAATGTTGCACGTACTGAAGTAAGCAAACTTGCTTGTGAAATGGTCAATCACAAGGTTTTTAACCACGGTTCTTTAAAGTCTTTATTAATCTACAAATAGTTTCCTTTATAGCTCTTCTGATATTTTCCTTAAAGTTCTTGCAGCAGCTGTAAGTCAGATCCCTTCATCATCAGTAAAATATGATTATTGAGGGCAAAAAAAGGAATCACAGAATGAGATAAGTTCATAAACCAAGGTACCACTGTGTAATATAAATTAGCTTTTTGGGTCTTTACAGTTCTGTGGTATTTAGCACATTCTCAGGATTGGAGCCATCACTGCTTTCCAGTGCCTTAAATACCATAATAAATCAGCCCAAATGAAACTTCAGATATCCTGGGCTAAGAATGACCACAGGTTTGGTTTGTCTGGGAGAGGTTAAGTTTGTCTCTGATTTGTTGGAAATCTGTCTGTTTATAGCCTGGAGAGAGAGAGAATATCCCATTAGGGTCACAGAAATAAGGTGAACCTATATCTGCTCTATCAACATGGCCATTCTATTGAACATGAAATGTACTTTCCAGCTATACTTTAGAAGGTGTGCTGAGATTTTCCTGAGACCTCTATAAAAATCTTACATTGCTGCTAGATGAAATAGCCTGACTGTTCAGATACCTGTGTCAGGGAGTGGAAAGATTGCGATGCACAAGGGGAAAGGTCTTCTATCATGCAGGACGATCCATGCTCAGCTGCAGCCTTCTGAGTGCCTTCTGCATGTCCTTGTTCTTCAGGCTGTAGATGAGAGGGTTCACAGTGGGAGGCACCACTGTGTAGAAGGCAGAAACTAGCAAATCCAAGAATGAGGGAGACTTGGGCAGGGGGTGTAAGTAAGCAAAAAACCCAGAAGACAGAAACAGAGTCACTACCAGGAGGTGAGGCAGGCATGTGGAGAAAGCTTTGGCCCGGCCCTCTCTGGAGGGCATCTTCAGAACAGTGGAGAAGATATGGAAGTAAGAGACATTGATGAACACAAAGCAGATGAGGTCCAATAGGAGGCTGAGCCCAATGACTACCAACTCCCTGATGTTACAGACACAGGCAAGGGAGAGCAGCTGTGGGACATCACAGAAGAACTGGTGGACCTCAGGAGGTCCACACATGGGCACGGAGAAGGTAGCAGCTGTGTGCAGAACTGCATTGAGACATCCGCTGAGCCATGAAGATGCTGCCATCTGTTCACAGGCTTGGTAGCTCATGATGGTCTGGTATCTGAGAGGGTGGCAGATGGCTATGTAGCGGTCATAGAACATGACTGTGAGGAGAGCCACCTCTGTAGTGGCTAAGAGGAAGAAGAAGAAAACCTGGGACACACACCCAAGAAAGGAGATGAGGTTTAAGTTCATCAGAGAGTTTGCAATGGACTTGGGAACCGTAATGGAAATGAGGCACAGGCCCAGGAAGGACAGATTCCTCAGGAAGAAATACATGGGGCTGTGCAGGTGGGGGTCCTGCATGGTAATGATGACGATGAGGAGATTGCCCAGCAGGGCGGCCAGGTAGATCACCAGGAAGAGCACAGCATGCAGCACCTGAAGCTCCCAGACAGTGGAGAAGCCCGTGAGGATGAACATGTTCCCCCACGTGGTGTTGTCCATTTCTCTGGAACTTTAATCTGTGAAAATAGAGCAAGCACAGTGAGACTTGACCAAGAGTCCACACTGTTTTTTTTTTTTTTTTTTTTTTTTTTTTTTTTTTTTTTTTCATTTGTCTTTCTCCAGCTCACATTCACATCTGTCAGAAAATTTGAAGTCAGAGAAGATGCCAGGAAACCCCCATGGTATCCATTGAACCAGAGCAGGGACACCATGCATGAGGCTGGGGAAGATGTCCATCCAGAACTGTGTGCCTTGTGATTTTATCTAAATGAAGTCTATAATCAGTAACTGACTAAACAGAATAACACACACATAGTTTGTGTTAAAATGCATCCTTAGAAGACAATGCCTGTGTTTTGTAGCTAGGAGTCTGAAGTCCAGTTTCCCACTGACTCATTTGGTAGTATTGTGACTTTGATTAAATTATGTGAATAACAGTTTCATCAGCTCACAGTCAGTATTTCTCATTGGTTAATTGTTCTAGTTCAATTGACTGGTTCAATTTAAAGTACTGTACCTAACATGGGCTGAAGGTGTAGCTCACTGGTAGTGCTCATGGTCAGCACCTGCCAGCCCCTTGGTTTGGTCCTCTGCACCTAAACAATCTGAGGAACACAGGATTTTATTAATTGTCAAGATCAGCTTTTTTATTGTCCTTGAAAAATCTTCTTTGTCTATATATTTTCCTCCCTAAATTTTCCCTTTCTCACTGTTAAACTTTCATGTTCCAAACCACACAGAAATTCATCTAAAGTGCTCACATTGATCTTGTGAATGGATACATGCACTATGGTAAAATGCCAGAAGCTCACATTCTAATATCTGGTTAGATACAGCTACACAGAAATTACAAGACAACAAGTTCATGGGACAGGCAGCGTGCTAACCCTTTAGAACGTAAGTGAACATAGAACACTGGCTTTTCAAAATTTGTTCCAGCAGTCACAATGTGCACAGTGCCCCTCACCCTCCAGAGCATTCTCTCCTGGTCTTCTACACAGCTTGGTATTGCACTACTTTGCCTCTCCATAAACTTCATGCTTCTTAACAGAGCTTTCAGTATGTGCTTCCTTCCATCTCCCACTAGTTCCTTCCCGAATCTGTCTCATGCTTCATGTAAAACAAACAACTACAGCAAACCTTCAGTGCATGGCCCCTGTGGCCCAAATTCAGCTGAACCTTTGGTCTCTTTTTTTTTTTTTTTTTTTTTTTTTTTTTTTTTTTTTTGTCTTTTTCCTTTTTATCGGTACCAGGGATCAAACTCACGACTGCCTGCTTGCAAGGCAGGCGCTTATGCCGCTGAGCTAAATCCCCAGCCCCTCCTTTGGTCTCTTTCTGTTAAGGACTCTCCTGGAGATTTACAAAAAATAACAGTTTCCCACCAAAGTCAGCATTCAGCAGAAACAGCTTTCCTCAAAGTGGGGCCCTAGGTTTGCATCACCTGAGAGTGGGATGGAAAGAAGGGTAGACCCCTGCTCAGCTCAGACCCACAGAATCATAAGCTCTGGGAGAGAATCTCAGAGTGATGTGCACAAAGCCTCCTACTCAAGATCACGATCCTGCTGGGGTCTGGCATTGGATCAAGGAAACCT